TAGCATCAGAAAACCTTCAAATAGATCATTTCAGCCTTGACCATTATGGTTGTGAAAAAATTTTAGGATTTCATGCCCTAAAAATAGAATATATTATAACACATTATCTAGACCGTCCGTTTCGCCATAAAAATAGGCATTCATGTATTTGCAATACCTGTACTATGTTTTTTAGCTTCAAATTTCACAATCGGTGTTGGAAATTGATTTTACAACCATCATCTTCAAATTTCACAATCGGTGCTGGAAATTGATTTTACAGTCATCATGGAGATTTCCGATGTCAAAGTGCTTCCCGAAAAAGAGCTATTTAGTTTTCTTTCCCCAAAAAAAAGTGGTTTTAAAATTCCTAAACATGATCCATGCTGATTTTGGACCATCCATTTCAAGTATTCGACACCGTATTAGGAGTTCCGAAATTAGGAGCTCCGAAATCCATGGTTAGAGGTCGAATGGGATTTGGAAGCCATCAAAGAGGTTTTGCATGTAACGAGTCCATCACCATTTTTCAGGTGCGGCCTCATGCAACCCCAGCCTCGTGAAATACCCTTGTATAGAATCTTCTAGGCTGGTCACTATTGGTATACCTAAAAATAGGTGGATTCTCTGTTGAGCATTACCCTCCACCTACCTGCTTTCTTTATCACATACTCAATTTCTAGAGAATTTGACATTTTTTTATTTTTCTTTGGGTATCAAATAGCCATTTCTTTTGTAGTCATCCAAACAATCTCTCTTTTTTCTCTCCTAACAATTCGAAGTGAAATTTATCAAAATATACCTTATTTTCAACTACTTGATACTTTAACTATGTTTCTACTCTTCCAATTCAAAATTATATATATTTTGATAGAAATTTTCAAATTAAATTTAAAAATATAGATAAAATATTAAATAATTAAGCCTAAAGATTTCCTACTCCCTCAAGAGTATATTGTCCATCTACTCCCATGGAAAAATTTCATGCTAGGAACATTTTTTAGATCTTAAAATTTGTAGATGTAAACTCTAGAACCCAATGACCACCCTTAAAGAACAGAAATGCGCAAGAGCCACCTAATTTCTAGAGGAAGAAAATATGGATGTCTAAGAACCCAAAATCCAAATTTTTTTTGTTCAAAATAATCATCTAATGATAATTACATAAATCACAAAATTTCAAATACAAAAAAAACTCTTAAAAAGCTATTTTACCCGAGGGAGTTGTTGTATAGTGTGCTCCCACAGGAGCATGCTATAGTAACTCTATAGTGAATAACGTGACAAATCCCCTTAATTTGAAACATCTACCACGTGCTAAAGTCTCCTAAAAGTAGCATTAGTGCACTATAAATCCTTTCACCCTGGTGGAAGGAGAAAATGCAAAAGGATATTATACTCTAGGATGTCTATTTACTCCCTTACGTAATATCCCATTTACCATCAATTTTATGATCTCAAATTTTGGAGATGTAACCTCTTCAGCTCATAGATTAACTTAATCGAAGAAAAATTCTTAATTATTCTATGTACTTAAAAAAAATATCCCATGATTGAATAGAGACCATATAATTGTTAGATGGTTTGATCTAAGTGCCCTAATAACTTAAAATTCAATTTGTTTTTTAGAATAATCATCTTCTAATCCTTATAAGTGGTTTCCAAGAGAGACCTGAAATCGCCATCCATTTAAGCCGTGTGGGTCCGAGTGATCAGAGAGATTGAAACACATGGAATCCCCACTGTAATTGTAGAAAATATTGGCAGCTTCATAAATTCCTTTGAACACTTCGTCTCCCGCATCATCCACAACCTTGCACATCTGTATTTTACACATAATCCTCAGCTTCTGCCCATTTTATTTCCCACACTTATCATATCCATCTCATAGAGTAAATAAAGTTTTTAAGTTTGGAAGAAGTTTATCTGGAGCTGAGGTTCTAAACAATCAAATTAGAGCTTAGCTCAAAAATTTCATTGTTTTAATGCCCAAAAATTTTCAAATTGATCATCTCGACATCAAGACGGATGGATATGAGAAAAAAAATGGATTTCAAGTTTTGGAAATAGTGCATCTTATAACATATTTTTGAACCATCGATTTTCAAGATTGTCAAGTTTTCATAAATCCGCTCGATCTACATTATTTTTGAAGTTTTAAATTATATAATTAAATATGAAAATATATTTTAAGGCTATCAGAAGGATTTTCAGTATTGAAACCACATTTCTCGACACTACTTAAAGGTGCGGTTTACTTTGATTATTTAGAGCCTTGGCTCTATACAAACCACACCCTTTTTAAGTTATTTTTTTAATAGACCGGTTTTAACTAAATTGAACCCCACACCAGTTGGATAGCTGATTCGATCATGGTTCGATCATGATAACACCTTTTCATTGAACTGGACCTCAAAAAAGACCTCGAACAAAAAGGCCCAGAGAGAAAAAGTAGGGTAGAAAGAGTAACATGTTTAATGGGAAAAGCAGGTAAGGGTGCAAGAAAGTTCGAGGGAACTGGATAATCAGTCATGGCCGTGTATACGAATGCCGTTCGCAACCAACTTTTCAATGAAACTTCGCTGATGTAATTCCTGCAAATTCAGAGAGAGAAAGAGAGTTTGGCCCAAAGCAACTAAATTTGGCAAATTTAGCTAAAGGCGTGGAACAAGTAAAAATATTACGGGCATATTCTGAAAGACTTTCTAAGCTCTTCAAGTCCCCCTGGCTGCTGTTGGGTTTCATGAATTTTCTGTGTAACAGGTTTCGCTCTCGCTCTATTCAACAAACAGAAGAACCATAATAACAAATTAGAGCGACAGGTCCAATAAGATTAGTAGATGGAGGGAAACAAACAAAATGAACCCATATCAAAACAAGAGAGAAACAGAAATTTTGGGTGACGATGTTATTGAAGGAATAGGGAGAGGTAATGTCAGCGAAGTTTAGAATTGGAGCAGGACGCCAAAGCTCCAATGCAGACGTGTGGATATTTTAACCTGAACCATGCAGCCAACACTACAAAGGCAACCATGAAATAAACACATGCTTTTCTCTCTCTATCATAAATCCCTCATGACAACAGAATTCTGTCTCTCTCTGAAACTTACTTCCACCATAAGAACCGCCCATGACCACAACTGGAGTCTTCAGCAGACAAATTCTTCTTGAGATCAATGATCAACGTCGCGTAATCAGCCGACGCCTGTGCCGAACTCAGATACCCATGGGTGCTAGCATTCTTATAAGCAATCTCCTCCCTCCCATAAGGGGTAGACTCCCCATAATATCTATGCTGAAAAACCCCCACAAAAAGAGATGGAACGACACCAATTTCAAAAAACATATAGATAGATAGATAGAGATCAATACGAGAGAGAGAGAGAGAGAGGTATTT